TGTATCAATCCAATACCAAGATAGAGTTTAGAACTACTTTTAATGCCTCGTATATTTCAGCAGCTCGAGCAATCATAATTAATTTCAAGAAAACAAAACTGGTTATAGGAAAAAGAGTTGCTTTTAAGGAAAAAAAAAGGAAGCAGAGCTACTTAAAGAAAACAAAACTGGTTATAGGGAAACACATGCGCTTCACATTCCACCCAACTTTCAAAATATGCTTACAGAAAACAGAGTTCTCTATCACTCAGTTCATTTGTACTGACATATCTAAAACGTGAAGAATCTCTTCAGGCTAAAATGAAGAATTTCAGCAAGCTACTAAAGATAAAAAAACTGTGTTATGTATGTAAACCTTATAAAAATCTACAGCAAAAAATATTGTAAACCTTCCAAAAATCTGAATCCAATATGTATGTCAACATTCCACCATAAATACTCATAATTGCATCAAAAAAACACCTAAATGAATGTAGATAAGAAGGGGGATATAATGACCAAGGCTAACTGCTCATAACTGCATCAAAATCTCCCTCATTTTTTCAATTCTTAATTGCAGTAGTTGTTGTTGTATACATTTCATAACTGCAGCTCAAAAAAATTCCTAGCTGCATCACCAAAATATGATCTATACATTTCATTTCTGCAGCAATTCATACCACTGAAATGATCTATACAATAGCTGTAGTTCTGCACAGACTCCACAGAAAAAGAATTATACAATGATCTATACATTTCATAACTGCATCAAAAGATCTATACAAAAGATCTTAAAATCTAAAAAAAAGAATTAATTACTGCAAAACTCCACAGAACTACAGCAAAGTTTTGTACAGAACTACAAATATAGCCGATGCACATAACTACAAATATAGCTCTCTAATGCAAAAGTAGCTGAGAAAATTTGCTTAAGCTTGAATCTGTAAAAGCAAAACTCCACAGAACTACAAATAAAGAAGTGTGATGGGCAACTACTAATCAAATATTAGTTATTAAAAAATTTCACATCTCAATATTATGCAATGTGAAGACCGCTTCATAATCTTTGTTTGCAACGTGAATGGCTTCTCGTGCATGAGTGAAAAGATGCATATATAAAGAAATTGAAACTCAAGGTATTAGATATGTAAACACATAAATATTGAATGAAATTCTACTGATTTGGGCTCAAATCCCGGGATTGATCAAGTGATCAATCCCAAATGTAGCAATTTGATAAGGTTCCATGAATAACACCATTGTTACTAATAAAAGTCCAATTGAGTATTCCAACCTAAAAGAGCCATGCAAAACCTTACCAGAAACTTCTAACTTCAGTTGACGTCAAGAGCATTACTCGGTCGACGTTATTACCAAGAAAGATTATCAAACATACCACTCAATCCTT